AATATCAAACAACGATTTCTGGCGAACACAACAATCAGGATTGAATTATAGGTTCAGAGAATATGTCTGTTTATACTTTTATAGTGATTCTATCTTTTATTTCCAATCTAAAGTCGACAGTCACAACGAGGCGAGAAGTCGAAATAAAAAACAAAGGCATATTTTACGCCCCGAGGATCATAAAATACCGCCTAATCGACTGGACATATATAAAAAGTAACAAGGCTAAGGAGGTCCGAAAGTATTCAATTATAATATGAGGATGAATTCAGGAGGGGTATCGGACTGCGTATTGCCATTCTCGACACTATTCGACACCGACTAGAGGGCTTAATCCCTTATTTTAGAAGAAGAGGGCGATATGTTTCTTGAAATCTCACTAATAATTTTATTCTGTAGCTGATTGCGCCCGAATAAATATAAGTAATTATTTAAGATACAAGTGTCAAAATAAACAAACCGTTATTTATCAAATAACTGCTCTATCAGAGCAGTCTCATCAGACGTATTACTCTGAATTGTTATCATTTTCATTTACCAGCAACGAGTAATAGGACCATAATATTGATCGGCTTTCCTTTCTTTGACTTCTCCAAAAATCGTACCAGATATAGCTTTTTATTGAATAAACGCTGAGCTGAACAAACATTTCCAGTTCAATTTTTTAGCCTTAATCCATCACAATAAAATAAAATAGGTTTTATAAAGAATAAAATTACTCTTAAAAATATCTGTTATCCGCCTTAGTTATTCACTAAGCCATAAATTATATGTTTAAAATATTTTCTTTTTGGGCAGATTTGGGACAAAATGGAAGTAAAGGCCCCGTAATATCATTACGCGTCCCGGACGTACTTTCTGAACTGGTCCGTCCTAACCGGCGGGCCGGCATTTCGGGTCGATCGTAATTAATTCACTTAGAGCCAATATATCATTATTTAAGCAACTAGAAACACGATTGTTGTTTATACATGAGTCACGTATAATGTTAAACAGATTGTCATAACACATTTTATAGCTCGCTAAATTATGGTTAGGGTTACGAGTGCGAGTTGTCCACCTCGCAAGGCAATCGGGTTTAATTGGTGAGAACTGAACGAATTAAAATCGTGTAATTAGCGGCGATAGCAGTAATGACATGCAATACTGTTTAACGGAAGTATTAGGATAATTTAAATCAGAATTATTACATAAGGACTTTTTAAAAATAAGAACAGGATGTCATGTCAAAAGTCGCACGGTGCCAAATCAGGTGAATACGGCGAGTGGTTGAAGTTTTCGCCCTTTTGACCTTTTCAAAAATTGAAATAATTGAAGATCATGCTTCCGCAGCACCAATCAGAGAGTATATCACCTCCTACAGCGGTCTTTCTAATTGAAACTTATTTCGATCAATGATATAATTTCGTATAGGTAATATGCTTCCGAAGTTTTAGCAGTTGTTGACACCATCAGCTATTTGCTAACGCTGTTCAGCTCTAGATATCTCTCTTTTCCTGGTTTACTCACATTTACTGGCGAATTTCTATTTAACAATTTGTTTTGTACGTGAAACTTTATATCTGGTCGTGTATACTTAACGTTGAGCAAAGGCAATCCATTTTCCAATGACGTGCGCGAGGAGCTCGACTATTGTCTAAACTGGGGGGCTTCTCATTAATTACCGGCTACATCATTCTAATAAGAAACTCGAGACACATTATCCAACCACCACAAAACGGTCCAGAAGAGCAACAAAACCCTCTGTATCCCTTGACGTTTTAATACAGGGACTAATCGTCTATCAATCTCCCTACGTGTTTCAGTTTCTGGCACTTCTTGTATCTACACGGCTCAGAGGTTGTTCCAACTCTGGCTAATAAATCAAAGGGTGTCAGGAGCCACCAAGGACTTGGTAGTTGGGCAGGGCCTCGGACCATTAACCACTCTATTTTATCAATTCCATCGGTGACGCGCGTTAGTGGGGCAGGACGATTGTTGCTCGCAATTTGAGGAAGTGAACAAGCAACTGAGAATTAATGACATCATCTCTAAAAAGATTTTCTTTTATAAAATATTAAAGGATTATTGAAACTAATAAAAACGCTTTTACAAGAGTAAATTAAGTAAACTTCGACCAATTCCGTGTGAGAAATGTGGTTATTAATCGAACATCCCTCGTATCCCACCCGAACTTCGGACGAAGGCCGCGGAAAGCGATTTAATTAAATAAGTATAATGATTCCAACCCTCCGTTTAGCGGAACGGTTTCGGCAACGACAAAAACTCATCAAAATTCAGTAACAAGGAATTTATCCTAAAATTAATTGCTTGCTATCCACAAAGAGACTAACCGTTCCGACAGCGTCTCCAGAGGCCATTGTTGAACCGCGATTGTCCTCTTAATTGACGAAAATCCAATATTTTTTATATAAGCACGGTCCTCGCTCGCGATATCCTCCTGTAGCGTCAAAAATCTTTTATTAAATTTGTATGGGAACAGTGTCGCCTTTCGCGGTCGGTCGTATCAAGGGTTTTATGTTCCCTAAGCGAAATAATCTCTACGCCCGCCGAATTAGATTGCGGTCCAAATATATGAAGAAGGAAAGGAAGAGAATATTGCAGTTATAAAGGTTACGATACGATTATTGCTTTTAAATTAATTTTTGGGGATGAATAGTTTGTTGGAGAAAAAGGGAAAGAGGAAACGGTCGAACATTATACTCTACGATTTCGATAGCGTCCCGCTAATGGATAATTTTCCCTTAAAATACCCTCCCTTAATGTCCGCCCCACGTGATGCGCCATATGGCTCGCAGTCCCAACATGTCCCAATCTGGAAATGCGTAATGGGTCCTTGCGTTCATTTGTTATAGACCATTATGTGACATATTCATTACTTTTATTTAAAGCGATTATGGTCGAGCACATACATTTAAATTACCCTAAGCCACTAGATTTCTGTATTATATTTTATGGCGATTTAATCATGAAATAAATATTTGAAGTAAGAAAACTTTGCTTCCAGACGATTTATATTAAGCATAAAATATTATTGTTCCCAAATTTTTTACTGATCCATTTTTAGTGAGACCTTATTTGCTGTATCATCACTTGAAGAAGTATAAAAAATAATCTTCCTCTCTGAAGGAAACAATAAAGACCCAGTTCAATCGCTCGCCGTTAAAAATCAAACAGACCGTTCTATTTCAACAGGCTTTCGCTTGTAGAACAATGCGGTGCCTGTGGAAAGTCAACTAGGCGGACATGATATTATTTTTATTTACTCCATCCCCCAAGGGTTAGCAACCAGCACTAAAATTTAACGAGCCAAGGGTCTCCAGAGAAAAGGAGAACAAATATAATCTCCCTCGCAGCCGACTTTGATGTCCGCGGAACAAACGTGTGCGTGTTTAGCGATGAAACGCCGTAACTGGGTTTTTAAAACGGCGAAAAATACGAGAAATACGAATAAATGCCCGATTTGCTGCAAATGTCGGAGTTGGAAGGCCGCAGCAAGGGAATAATAACATATTAAACTTGATACAATAAAAATTTGTATGACTTTGGTCGATTTTCTTCAGATATGCTCGAGAATGCTTTTCACGTTCACGTCACCTTAGTATACTGTTGCCCCAGGGTGACTTTCGAATGCATTGTTATAAATTCTACTCATTTATTGCTTATTTTCTGCGTAATTTATTTTGTTACGCTTAACATGATGCGTACGCCTATGCCCCCGGCTCAGTTCTGACAGCCATATAGATAATACAACGAAGAGGGCCTACAATTGAACCCTGAGGCACTCTTTAAAACATATTGAAACTAGAAGAACAAAAACAAAGTTTACCATTTCAGCGTCTTTTCAAAATTGTTATGTCTTTGATAATTATTATTAAACTCTAAACTGTCATATGTCATGCCATTATCACAACCTGCAATAAAGTAAAAAGTAGAAACAAACAATGCTACCTCTTATGGCCACGAATTATTATGACGATGGCAATGATGATGGTTATGATGATGTTGTATATGCTGATAGTGACGGTAAAAAATAATGATGACGACGACGACAATGACAAAAGAACAACAACAACAACGATATTTTCTTCTTTGGTCAATCTTTTCAACCATACCTTCAGAGTTTTGTGTGGTGCTTCGGCATTTATCCACGTCTTCCCCATTCGTCTTGTTGATAGCTTGTTCTGTCATCAAAAATAAGAAACCGACTTGACATACCGATATTTTAAAAAGGCGTCCTCGCCCGAAATCGCAGTATAAAATCCCCGAACCCCATTCCCCATCAAATATTTATCTTTTTATTGTCGTTTCGTGTTAATAAATCATATCGGAATCACTTCCAGCCGACGTGTTCTCCCTAAACCACTGCTCCGATGTACCTGGGGAGGGGGAATAGGCGGTTATAATTTCAATTTTAATCTCGTGGTGAAATACGAGCCTCGCGGTTTCTTGTGTCACCTGAGAACCTACGAGGGTGTCGTTACACGCCCAATGTGTCGCTTCATCCGGCGTAACCGCCGGAGGAACGGGGCAAACATAAAATAGTGTCGCAGGCCCTTTTACGCAGACGGCCATAATGGAAGATGTGGAAAAGTTTTTCTTGGTTTTATTGCTCCGGATTTCCTTTCCGTACGTTGAACTACAATATACAAGAGTCCTACATCGTAAAATGAAGTGGTTGAAGCAGAAAAGGGTTACAGTCACTGATTTAACACGTAGACGGTGTTGTACCTTGATCATCTCAAAGTTACTGTAAGAGTGTATCAGACAAATCCACAGAACGAGAAATTAATGCAGAGGTCCCTCAGGGTTCTATATTAGGGCCCCTTACATTTTTAATTTTTATAAACGATCTTCTAAGAATACGGATATAAAGTTGAATATATTAATCAATAACATAAACTGGATAAAATTGACTAAATTAAATAGATTCCCGTTTATAATCGCAAGATTGTATTTTAATTTGACACATTCGATTTACAATTTTTCCTTTGTTTCAGATTCCTCATATTTCATAAAGACAAGGACAATAATACTTAAAAAAAAGGTGAGTAAAATACTTGAAATAATTATTTATTAGCTAGCTGATTGCTAGATATTGCTAGTGTAATTCGATGTTAATTGGGACCTGTAATAGAAACAGTTTAGGAGACTTGTCTGGGATTAGATATATTTGGCGAACCTGGATTTCTGGTGTCGAAGAACATTATCTGGCTTTCTCGACTAACCACTTGACACCCTGTACAATAAATAACCCCGCCAACCCAGCATCTCAAACCGATATTTTCTTAATATACGGCGTTATCATTAACAGCGGAAATATGGCCTAAACTCGTCCAATCTGCCGCGCAACCCCAGTTTTATTAATGGTTGGATATTCCTCATCGTCAGCATGTAGGGCGCAGGGTTGTATCTTGTAAATAATGGCCCGAAACTAGGGCACGCGCGCCCTCCGTTACAAAACTCCCGGTCGCTATAATGCGACACTAAAGATTAGCAGGAATTCGTGTAATAAATGATCCCTTACTGTGTGACGTACTGTAGCAGAATTAGGAAGTTTATGACGGACGTCGACAGAATTAGGGCCGACGCGACGGCCCGGGTATCTACATAAAACTCATTATGTGGCAGATCATAGAGAAATAACGAGACAACTTAATTTGTACAAGGTGTTCGTGTATTCACCTTATTGCTTAACGAACAATAAATTAATGTAACATTTGCATAGAAGATAAAAGCTTGAAATAATTTACAGCGTACAGAACGTATTGGCCAGGAACCGGTACTGGTTATTGAACTTCATGATCTCCGGGCTGACGTTCGATCACGCTCGACATTGGCTCCGTGTCAAATTTGTAAATTTCGTTTATGGAAAACTATCGCTCTGTACATTGTGGCTATCTCCAGAAAGAAAATTACTTTCGTTAATTGTGACCTTAAGGCTTCGCTTTAGTTTGAGTTTCCAATTTCTTGGACTTAAATTTTGGTATTTCTTCAAGGTGTTATGCATGTTCAAACAGCTATAACCTTTATTTTTTTCACAATTTTTCCCCCGTTCAAAGTGGGGAGGATATTTGAAATGCGTACTAAACATTATTATTATTATTTAAATTCGAAGGTTTTATAAACTAAAGGCGATCGCCGCTGCCAGATGGCGTGACGCCCGCACCAAACAAGCTTTAATTATTCAGACTGTTACTTTCCGAGTTTTCGCTATTGATTTCCGAGTTACTTGGCGAGCCGCCTTATAAGTAAGAGCCTGCCACTTAATAAACTCTAGTTTCTAGGCATCGGGCTGGTAATTATAATGAGCACGAAGATGGAGGTATTTTAATCGATGTAAGTGGTCGAGGAAATGGAATTATAGTCGAGGAAGAAGTTCGTGCGACTCGAGAGGGTTAATTTGGGCAAAAAACTCGGGATACGCCACAAAAATGGACCAATTCACACTGTAATGTTTTCCAAACTCAATTAAAAACTTTCAGGAAAACAAGCAGTCTTAAATATTGTACCGGGTAAACGTATACGACTGCCACTATCATTTGGTAAGTCTAAGATTTACACACGGAAAGAAATGCACTAGTGCAATGAAGATTTAGAGAAGTTAGATTTTGTAACAGTTGAATTTTTTCCTAAGATACGTTCAACAGCTTTAAACCTTACGGTTTTTTTCTTTAGTTTATTGATCAAACTGATTTGGCTCACCCTTACTGCGTTCCCTCGGAAAAAAATTCATATTCCCGACTCAATCAAACAACGTTCGCGAAGATCACCGTCAACATTTGCCATATAGCAGCCGCCCTGTAGGCATGATTAATATGAAATTCGAATTTTGTGTGGCGTCGGAGATCCACGGCGGGCGAGCAATAAAGCCACAGCGGGGACTTGCCAGAAAATACGCCGCTTTTACATATAAATTGAACTTTAGGGTTCATGTACCTAATTCGAATCCCAATATTTATCTTTGTAAATAAAGCTCGGCGCCGGATGAATTATCGATTTTGATTTAATATAAAATGGGAGACAGCGGACTGTATTTTGCTTCCGCAATAAGCAATCTAGAACTTTTTGTTAATTAAATTCGTTGAAGATATTTGTAAAAGTAGCTTTTAAGTGTTATACCAGCAATGAAACATAGACGAAGGTGATCGATTTGAAACCTAACAGTTTTGGAGAAGATTTGTACACTCAACATCATTATTATTATTGTTATTATCATTGTCATTATCACTAACCATGATTTCTCTCTGATCAATCACTCCTGGGATAGTGACATTGGATATTTTTGAATGTCTATCACAGTTAGAAAATATGAACTAGGCGTAATAAACTATTTCCATGTCATTTGCTGAATGGGATCTCCGCCAGCGCACCTAGGCCTACATAGGATTCCGTCGCACCGTGGAGACGTTCTAAATATAATTTTACTATGTGATTTATTCACGCGAAGCCCCGACCGTAAATTATATTTCTGTGGCAGGGCGAGTGCTTTATTGTTTTCGTTGGAAGGCGCATAAAATCATTTACACTTTAAACGTTTCGATTGGAGTCTGGCGGAGCGTGCTTCCAATCGTTTTTTAGCCATCCATCGAACGCACCGGATTCATTTTCGAATGTCTGTGTTAACGCTGATGGGCCGGAGGGCGTGTAACGACTCCGCGGACGAACTTTGCTCTTAGAAGGGGCCAAGGGAGGATCCTCCCTTACCAAATTGTCGCTTAATATCCGGAACAATTTTCGCCCGTAAAAAGATTTGGCTTTCGGGCGAATAAACACAAAGAATTGGTAAACGCCACTTCTTTTAAGTAAAGAAGGGGAGGATATAGATGGAAGTTTATCTCCTGAACGTTAATGGGCGAAAAGTTTTAAAATAAATAACCATCGCACTTTAAAGTTTTGGAAAATGTTTAATAATTTTAAAGCCGGCCCTGTGCCGTTCTTCTGTGAACGAGATGTAATAATAATTATTCCACGGGGCTCGATATACAAATCAAACCTCAGTCTTATGATTATTGTCGAAGATTAATTATATCTGCAGCTGTACGTGATGGCATTCAGTTCGATATTTTCGTTGCACGATCACCCAAAAATATTCCCACATTGTCCCAGACGTGTCGCGCGGCATACCAAGCAGGTTTTTATAAAACAGTGAGATTTGTGCAAGCAAACGATGTTTAATTCAAATCAGGGGCACCGAACAGGATATTGGTAGTGTAAACTATGGCAGGATGTGGTAATTCAATATAACGCGTGAATTACTCCTTGGCAGGCGTGTAGAGACATGATTCCTTACACCGACATCAGGCCCAGAAGACAATGCGACGTTTGGTGTGCGACTCCTTTGCTTCGTCAAGTCACGTGCGTTTTATTCTTATAATAGGTCTGGGATTATTTAAGCATTTGCCAACACCTGGAATATATCACGCTGTATCGAAAAGTGAATTTTTTTATGGGAGTAGCTGAACTTGCGTCAGTCGCAGCATCTCTTAAATCTATGAGTGTACTTCATCTCAAACAACCGTCACTTTTTAGTCGTCGGAATCGAGATATCCTTCAAATGCAATGAGAACGGACCACTTCGTGCTGGTGAAGATCATCTGAACGGTACAGAGCGCCATCTAGGATAATGAAATCGCGTACGTTTCAATAAACGCACCGCACACGAGCGTTCGCCGGGAATCCACCCCAGCGAACCGTACATTTGCGGAAATTATGCAAAGAGGAGAAGCGCGAAGAAAACACCGTCCCTATTCAGCATGCCGGGCACGCGGGGAGGAAATTGGAAATTGTAGTGTGCATTAGTGAGACAGACTCGCGTTAAATAGATTTTTTTGCGGAGCGCGCCTCGAAGTGGATGGGCTCGTTGGTTAATAACTTTAGTGGGGCTGGCGTCCTTTAAGTGTCATCTGGAGTATTAGCCTGCGTTGTAATGGAATTGCTGCCGGTGGAATATCAAGGAATTTAAGCTAGACACAGCTCCGCGAAGTTCACGTCAGGTTTAAACAAGATGAGGGGCAGACAAGGCAAAAAATTATGTAGTTAGTTTTAAGGATCGTCTGCTTCTTTGGTCGTCTCTAGGTCACCCCGAAGTGTGATCGAACGTCGACTCTGAGACTTTGCAGTTCAGAAACTGAGCAGAAGTCAGCGTGAGTACACAAATCGAACTTAATGACATTTAATAAACTTTTTTACGAGACCTAGCTGAGAAAAAAGGTTTAAATAAAAGATGTATAGACACAGAAACAGTAAAAAAAACTAGCCAAAGTGCAAACAAGTACTTATAATTCCTAGGAGTGAAAACGTTTCCATAGGAAACTTCTCAGGTGAAAGGTTTTCTTTCAAATCAGTGCCGTCCTAAGGGTATATTCGGTGTTACTGCGCTTTACAAATCAGAGAGTGGACCGAAGCTTTAAGCAGAACAGCCAGTCGAAATGGAGAAAAAGCACGAGACTTACCCACAATAGAGGTATGGGGAAAATAAATAGACAACACTACCTAAATGGCTATTTTCATTCTGGCATTTTATCTAAAATAGCAGCTCGCTTGCTGAAACATAAGAAAACGTACAAATAAAATTGCTATTTCAAGTGTTAGCCGCTCGAAGCGGGGCTATTCGCGGGTTAGGGCGACTTGCCGTCAGAGAGTGATGAATGTGTTCCGTGGCGTGCGCGGCATTAGTCATATCGCGATAAATGTTAAATAATAACGCCGGGCGACAGTTCTTCATTCTAGAGCCACACAAACCGCAAGTCCCGCTCGCTAGTCCTGACAGTGCAAAAAACAAAACACATATTGCTTTAAAATTAACGCAAAAGAACAACTTGCGATGTATAAGAATCAGAATAGTATTTATTTTAAATTTTTCACACTTGTGTTGCTAAAATAATTGTAAATTACCCAAAGCGATGCTTTTAAATTAAGCACCCTGTATATTAGGGTGGCCCAAAAAAAAATGAATATTTTTTTCGTGTCTCTTGTGAAAGAAAATATGTTAGTTTATCATGTTTTAAGAGCCCCCTCGAAAAAACTTTTTTAGAGGTCGCTCAAGATT